CGTACACGCGACCGACGACGCAACGTTGACGTCGTCGTTGGCCGGATATAAAAATTTCCGCGTTTGACTCACGCGAATTTACTGAATCTCCGTTGGCAATAAATTATAATCTGCATCCCTTTTCTTGACGGCTGGTTAGGTAACCAGAACTGTTTTACGAAATTGCAACGAACAGCGCGATCGAAAACTCATATTTGAATGGCTCGGGATAGCAGTGTTCTAACTACTATTTTACAGTTTTCGGGAGGAAAGGTTTAATAAAATACTTCTATTAGACTGCTAACAATATTAATTATAAGATATTAATTGTAACGCAATGATTATAACTCCAAGAATTTTTCATAAAACTTTGTCTACCTCGAGAATTATGAAATAGTAAGTAGACCTCTATTATCCTCCAATTATCCACTCATTTATCTTAATTTGCTACATCTCTCTGGGTATCTTTCTTTTCCTTTCTTCTCTTTCGATTCTTCTGTTATTTCTTCTTTTGGTATAGAGATCGATTCATTGTTACGACACGACAACTTCTCTTTTCGAACGTTACACGTTTTGTTGCGCTCGCAACTGGATGCGTACCAACCTGTAGCAAACTGACCGACCGCGATTGGAGCGCGAACTTTAAGGAAATAGGCTAATTATTGAATATTGCGTTTCCAGTTAACCGTGGACTGCGTTTCTCTCGACCGGAACCATTCTGCTTCCTTACGCGGCTTCAAAATCGACGAGACCGAGAGGGAACGTATCAGAGTCGAACGTTCGGACTGCAAGGAACTCGTGGCTCTCGGGAGAAATTTCTTTAACGATACGCTTGAATTTTCCGCGGAAGCGTTTCAAAAGGCGTTGACTCGAACCAGCCTGATATTTACATAAGTTACGAAATTACGGTTTTACAAATGTCAATGTAAGGTGATTTCTTTTATTGAATTACTTTTATCGCGTTTACGAGATCTTCGGGTTCAATGTAGATAAACTAACGTTCTTTCGGGAAACTTATGAAATAGGTCGATCAAAAATGTTAATGGAAAGTTAGTACGTTCTTAGGTGTTAATATAAACTTCGATTTTCGAGCTCCATAATGTTTCCTTCGACTATATTTTCAATTTTATCGTTTCGCCGATGAAAATCGTTAATTCCATCTATGGTTATCGGTTCAAATTTCTGAAGTTAATTAAGGAACCATGCTTAAATCATTTTTGGAATAGAAATCGACGGAGCTGTCAGGGACCGTAATTAACAATTACCTTTGGTGCAGAAATAAAAATCATCCCGAAGAATGTGTGCGATCAAAAAACCACTAACAACAATCGTACCATTTTTATTAGACGTCGCTCACGCGTGCGCGAAGCGTGCATATGCACACGAGTGCACGAGTGTGCCAAAGAATAATGATATTCTCAATAAAGAAAAACTAAATAATTCTTAATGAATGCCGAACCTTTATCGCCCATAAAGTTTGAACGGATAAATGCGCGCTCATATCGTTTTAATTGAATGACGCGCAGGCATCTATTTACGAAACTTCTGGCAAGTTTCGAACGCGCAAAAGCTCCCGGAGCGTGTGTTTGGCTTTCGAAAGCTTTGTAAGTGCGCCGGTACATGAAAAAAGAATCGCATACTGAGCGAACGGCATAATTCATCGGGAGAAGAATTTTTCCCCCGCGATGTACGTTCGGTGCAGGGTCGTAAATAATGCACGCCTATGCCAGTCGCAGACGAGGCCGACCGCCTGGCGCGCGACCGGATAGAATGGTAAATTACAATACTATAACCCTTTACGTGTAGCCTCTATAGTTGTACAGGGTAGTTGAATATTGAAAAGCGGCCCTGATGTAGGAGATGTATCTCCTTCGTCGCTCCTTCGACTCCTGCATCTCGATTCAGCAGAAAAATCCGCACAATTCGAAACACAATAAAGCTGACGCGGCATGTACGTATGGGGTGATCCATTAGAAAGGAGCATCGATGACAAGAACTGAAAAGCTTTGGTAACTTTGTGTATCTACGTGGACGTTGCACAAAGAAGGAACGAATGCTATTGAAAATTAAGAAGCACGTATATTACACACTAATTGAAATAACGGAGGAACTTGAAATACTCATTACATATTTTATAACATATGATTTATTAAAATTCTTTTCGTACTATCAACACGTTGAATTATCATAATTTTCTCAATTGAATGATAATTATTTGAAAACATTTCTGTGTTATCATTAATGTTACCTAATGCGATAACATTCGCCAGGAAAAACGAAAATAATAACGTAGTTGAATTAAATAATTTGGTATTACATGCTTTTCATTTTGCATACTTCGCTACGTGAAATCGTGGCACATTAAGCTAATAAAAAACAGTTTTTGCATAAACAATAAAACGGTAGAAACTACACTAGAATCATTCGCGAACGGAATTTCTCTAATAATTAATGCAAACGTGAATCAAACAAATCGTTATTCCTTCCGTTCGGGCCATTCAACGGTCAGAAATAAATTGCCTAACCTAATTATATGTTCATTAAGGCATATATTTCGTTATGTTATGCTCACTTGCATACGTTAGGAGCGCATAAAACTCGGGGTCCGCCGATGGCACAATCCCCAGTCGTTAAACAAAGGAAATACGACCGATTTGCTCTCGATCGGCTATAAAGAATCTTATTTGTTCCTTACGTCACGAAAATTGATGAAACCGGCCGTTTTACACCGAGTTACCATCGAGCCGACGAATATGGCGGGACAGACACGCGAGCCTCCTGATTTTCATCGAACGTGAACGCTGCCCGTATAGATCAACGAGCCGAGTTCGCCGCGATCGCGTGCCGCGTTTCCGATTCAGAGCGCTGCGCAATCCGAAATTCCAGTGCGGTTGATTTTTTTCTCCAAGACGCGGTTTTTTTTCACGCACGTCGAAAACCGGTTCGCGGCGCGGAATCGCGGGCAGTTTGCGCGACGGAAAAGCAATCGGCTAACGACGCGCCGATTTATTTACATGGAGATTTACGGTGGGTCCCTTTAGTTTCGTGGAAGGCATCAATCGATACCTCCTCGCGTTCCCTTTCAAATTCCCACGTGACACGCGCGAGGACACCGAGAACGACGGTTGAGAATCTGTTAAAGTATTTAAAACCTTCAACGGAGTAAGCTAAATTATGTATCTAACTCTTAAATATTAGAAAGACTAGTAGTATGCGCTAATTCCCTGCTATTCGAAAGACTCAACAGTTTGTTTGTAACTTTGTGTAATGGTAATTATTCGCAAAAACCTTAAAGGAACGGAGCGTTTTATTGAAAATTATCCTTGTCGACACAAGTATTTCGCGAAGACGTGACGAGCAACGATAAATTCGGAACGCGATCGGACCACGTACGGAGCAGGGCCAGAAACAGAAACGAAATAAAACACTGTTGCAATGCGATTCCGTAATTGGGTTTTTCAGGCGGCCGCGATCCAGAGCATCGACGCGTAGTGAAAACAGCTCGCGAATCACTCGAGCGTCGCGGTAATCAAGGGGAAAATGTTGCACGAGGAAATACGCGGGTGCCGGTGTGACCATCAAACTACTTTGTTCGCGCGTTCATCCTATTATCTTGGCTGTTTACAGCAGTTAACCGCGATTGTTAACGCGTTAATCGTTCGCTCGCCGCCACGATGATTATCTAATAAAGTAATAACAGTGCCGCGGCATTACAGTTCCCGCGCACGACAGTATTTCCCTTTTCTGTTACGTGGTCGGTGCCGATAGTATTTGCGATAGTTTATGCAACGGGGATTGTGTCACGGCGCTAAAGGATCGCGTCAGGATTACCGTCTACCTTGATCCGAGGATTCGTCACGGTTGCGATTTTCTCGTGAGCCAGTGAATCGCATTCCCCCGCGTGCTTTCGCGGCAGAACCCGTGTCCGGGAGCAGCGAGAGCGTTTTTAGTTCCATGAATGCGCGCCGCTGCACGGCGCGCCGCGTTTTAATGGCCGCTATTTTTCCTTATAAATCGAGAGGTAAATACGGGATCGCGAGTTTTGCGCGCGGCATGAGAAATGGAGGCGAACCTCTCAGACTTCTTGCCGCCCGTCGGTACTTTCTTCGAATAATCACTTCAACACGTCGTAACGCTGGTGTCGGGACGATCAATCTTGCGGCAGCCTGCGCCGCGTCCCTGTGTGCGTGCACTCTTTCGACCCAGTTCTCCCCACGCTGGCTCGCGCGTGTAATGGACAAATAGCGCGCTATGTCTTCCGTCTGTATTTAATTATCTGAATCCACCGCATCGATATTTTCTACCTGTTTCGACGCAACACTTCTTGCATACTGATCACTGTAACGCCGATAAGAAATGTAAACAGTTTTCTTACTAGTCGTCCGATTTTTCTGTTACATCATGCTCGTTTTGTGTTGCACGTGGAACGTGTTGATCTGTTGACGGTTTTTCGACAGCAATTGCTCGATTACAGTCCCAACTTTCATTTCGACCGTTATTTGTTGTAAAATCTTGCCTGGATGAGGGACAGTGCATGGTTTCTTAATGCTTTACTTACTCAAAGTAACTTTCGCAACGGTTGTAAAATGAAACTTCTGAAATTGCAGATGAAGTGGTTTCAGAAACTTCAATCATTAGCGTTTTACTAGTTGTCTGCTACCACCTCTTTCAGAATCGTGTACCTGAAATGTGTCGCAACAAGTAAGTTGTAGCTGTTTTTGATGAGTATCCTCGCCATGCAAAACCTTGCCGTTTCATGGCAAGTAAACTCGTCAAAAACAGCTAAGTAGTTAAGAACTAACACTATCGCAAACTCTTTGACTTGGAAACTCTAGTTTCCCAGAAACTACCCTTACGATCATTCAACTCTCAAATGGAAGATACTTATAAATCTAATTATAAATCCTTGTTAAAATATAAGACACCTATCGACCGTACTTCTTTTAAATTTTAAATCTTTACGATAACTTTACGATAATGATCTCTGCAATCAATTCAACGGATCATTTTTCTCGTTACAGATGTGGCGGATCAAACTTCGGCATCGTCTTTCTGGACTCCCACCATAAAGACGGGCAACATATTCACCGACGACACTTCGAACTTCTTCCCATCCAGCCACGGGATCGTGCAAACACACCCGGCGGGCAACGTGTTCCGAAGCGGTTTCGGTGGGATCGACAACCTCGGCAGCAGGGGTGTGACAGTCAGACCACCGAGAACGAGACCCCTCGACTACAGCGAACGAGCCACCGCTGAATTACGCCGGAATCCGGCGCTTTCTTCGCCGGATGAATGTGCGAGAGCTTGCCGCGAAAATGAACCGCCTCGGATATGCTACTACCACTTCACCCTCGAATATTATACCGTGCTGGGAGCGTAAGTGTCTCCCCTTTCTAATCCGCTCTTGACATAGTGGCTGGTGTTGCGCCCGCCGGTTCTATCGATTTCGGTTTCCCTTCAACCGCGAGGAGAATTTTTCTGCGACAGGCGGGAACGGTTTCTTGTAACATATCACTGTCGCTCGAGAAACTAAATTGAAGAGTTCTTGCAGGAAACACTGTAAGTGCCAGAGCGGAAATATTTTCTTTTTCTAGTCTTACACTGCGGTATACACTTTCAGTGTAATTTGCCTTTTGCAAGTGATCGTTAATAGCATTCATTCGTAACTCTGATAATACTGACAGATGACATCATTTCGATATAACGTTCAGTGTAACGTTATGTAATAATCGTCGCGAAAAATTTCATCTTGGCATTTACAATCTTCTCTACGAATACTCTTTCGTTCTTTTTGTTTCAAGTTTTTAAATAGATTTTTCGAAAGCAGAAAGATTATAATCGATCTTTGGTGGATATTTTTGCCATCTTATTATTTTCGGCACATTATAATGTTAATTGATAGTGAAAAGTGTAACAGAGGAATAGTTCAAAGAAATTACTATTGTAACTAGAATTTTCCAAATTTTTATTTTCGATTTTTCTTTGACACGCAACAGTGCATGTCAAATTTGCACTCCCAACGCAACCAACGTCGTATGGAGCGACTGTCAGTGCGTATTGGCCGACGGAGTGGAAAGAGGCATTCTGACTGCGAACAGAATGGTACCTGGGCCAAGCATTCAAGTTTGCCAAGGTGACAAAGTGGTAATCGACGTCGAAAATCATATCGAAGGGATGGATGTAACCATTCACTGGCACGGAGTATGGCAGAGAGGATCTCAATATTACGATGGTGTACCTTTTGTGACTCAATGTCCTATTCAAGAAGGCAGCACGTTTAGGTAATCATTTTTGTTGTAATTTTTTCACAATATATACAAGAGAAATAATACTAATAAGAAAATAATAGGGATAAATATAAAAATTCGATTTTAAGGAAACAGATAGGAACACCCGCATGAATTGAATTTTAATTAGAAAAGTTCAACTTAATCTCAATTTTAATCTCAATTGAAAATCAATTTATACTCTTCATGGGGGGTTTGACGTGATATAGTGAGACGTGGAGTTAATATTAATTGGCTCGGAAAAGGAGCATTCGAGAATCAGAAATACCTAATTGATGTCTCTGAGATTACTCTTAGTGTGAATATTTACCGGATTGCTTGTTCACAGGTATCAATGGATGGCTGGCAACGAAGGTACACATTTCTGGCACGCTCACACAGGCTTGCAGAAGATAGACGGTCTTTACGGAAGCATTGTAGTACGACAACCGCCCAGCAAGGACCCTAACAGCCACCTGTACGACTACGACCTGACAACTCACGTTGTGCTAATCAGCGATTGGTTCCACGAGACTGCGGCGGAACGTTTCCCTGGTCGTCTGGCTGTTAACACTGGACAGGCTCCTGAAAGCGTCCTCATCAACGGAAAGGGACAATTCAGGGTATGTATTTCAGAAAATAACAGTAACCTGTCTTCATTTTACAACGCCGTCGTTCTTCACTTTTGGAATAAATTTTATACCATATGTAAGAATCACAAAATCATGAAAGCAGGGTAGAGTTTCGGGTACTACTGACAAGATAAATGTTTTCAAACTTTATAAGAAACGGTATCACCATACTCTAAGGGAAATATTTTTCAAAATTACATTAATAATTCCAAATTCAATTTAATTTAGATTCCATTAAAAATGTTTGTCCTACTCTGATTTTTTCGATAAAATTATCATATCTGCACGTTCATTTCTTCTTAGGGCTGCTTTATACATTTTCTGACACGGATTCGCGCGTTCGCGTAGTTCTGTTTTGAATTTTCTTTTATACGGGGGTTGTCAGTATTTCACTGAAAAGTAATACCCGCGATTGCAATCTGCATTTCAATTTCCACCGATGCCCCGAGTCTCAGTTTCCTCGCTGGATTTTTCCACGAATCCCGGCGATCCGCCGCAATAAACAATAAAAGGGCTGAAGATCGTATTTCCGATGCCATAGGATCCGAACACCGGTTTCATGACGAACACACCCCTGGAGGTCTTCACCATAACTCCCGGCCGCCGTTATCGTTTCCGACTGATCAATTCCTACGGATCGGTCTGTCCATCTCAGATTACGTTCGAAGGTCACCCGCTCACCCTGATCGCGACCGACGGCGAGGCTGTGCAACCGGTCAACGTGGATACCATCATTTCGTTCTCCGGTAAGTTTGCCCGATTTTCATTGGCCGTTCGGAATTTTCGCTGCTGATTCTGGAATGACGTAGGATTAAACGACCGGCATTTTTCTAAAAAACATGAAAGGACCTAAGAATGCGTTACGGTTACCGTTACTTACGTTACCGGTGTTTATAAAAAATTAAAAGTTACGCAAGACTACATTGCCGATATTATTATAAAAAAATTAGAGACAACCGTTACCAAACATTCTTCCAAAATAATGCACAGTAAAATGGATGTACGCTACCAGCGTAGAATTTCGTTAGTAGTGTTCAGCTAAAATATTTTCAAATGACATCGTACTATATTATTGATCGCGAATGTGTGAATTGTTTCGCGTAAAAATAAAACGCCACGTTTCCTGTCATTTACAGGTGAACGATACGATTTCGTTATAAACGCCGATCAGCCTGTCGGCGCGTATTGGATCCAAGTCCGCTCGCTTGGTGAGTGCGGTATTCCACGAGCCCAACAGCTCGGCATCTTGCGTTATGCTCGTGGACCTTATCAGCCAACCACCACGGCGCCGACTTACGACTTCGGTCTACCACAGGGCGTCGTAAGTGTAATTCTTTATTAAATATCCTCGCGTTTAATACACTTATAAATTATTGTACTAAATTACTGTAGTTCTTCCGTTTCTCTCTTTCAATTCTTGTTCACTGATGGCTTATAAAGATCTCGGAGAAGTGAAAATTCGATGTATTGATACAATGAAAAGTAAATTCTATTTGATGTGACTATTAAAATGTAAATACACATTATACCCTGCCGTTTACTCACGAAATTATCCAGTTTGGAGAACAAACGTTAGCTCGTGTTCTGAGATAATTTGTGGTTGCTTTAGTATAATATTTGCGTTCAATTATTGAATGACGAAGACGACGTAATAATATTGTATTATAAAGAGGATGTGTTTATTCTTTTCTGAACAATAAGTATTAATGACGCTTTAAAAAGGAATTGATCGTGTCGTAGATAATAATTCTCTATCAATAATTTAGAAAGGACTATGAATCACATAAACCAGCCACAGGTGACACAGAAATGAATAAAGATTCTACTGTATCGATCCCTCGATGAATGCATCAATCATTAATAGAAACATTTTTAATTAGGTGTTGAACCCTCTGGATGCCATATGCGGTCGTCCCCGCGAGGACGCGGTCTGCGTGAACCAGTTGAAGAATGCCCGCCAGGTCGACCAAGGAATTCTTCAGCAGCGTCCAGATGTGAAAATATTCTTGCCATTCCGTTTCCTCTTCTACAGGCCAGAAGAAGTCTTCCAGCCGCAGACTTACAATCGATTCTTAGGTAAGAACTGGTGATTTCAAAATCCCCCCGACTGTTCTTAGCAGGCGCAAAACCGTCGCCGTCGCTTTGCCGTGGCATAGCTTCTTTTTCTTGACGGCTGGCGCAACGTGGTTGTTCATTATCATCGGACCTACTAAATCGGATTCCGCCAGTCGGCGGGGCACCATGAAAGTCTGCGTCATTTCGCTTCTGTATGTGATTACAGTCGCACCGACCGGAGATCACGTAATTTCTCTCGTCGATGAAATCTCGTTCACGTTTCCGCCGGCGCCTCCGCTTTCGCAGATCGACGACATCCCACCCGAACAGTTCTGTAACGGGGACAACAGACCGGCCGACTGCGGAGCGAACTGTATGTGCACCCATCAGGTTGATATCCCGCACAACGCGGTCGTCGAGGTGGTCCTCGTCGATGAAGGTGCGTATGGGAAACTATGGACTCGATCAGCGACGCTTCGTCAATGAATTTCTGGCTCTTTATGTTTTCGTAAAATTTGATTTACTATAATTTACTCGTTGCTCGCGTGATTCATGTTTTAGTGAGATAAGAATATGAAAGAGGTCGTGGTAAAGGTAGTTTATAGTTTTCCTAATGTCATTTCTAATGAGTCACGTGTATTGATTTTAACTATATACGAAGCATTCGTTTGTTCTTGCCACGTTTTATGAAAATTCAATGGTTATCGAGAAAGTAATTTATTCGAAGAACAGATATTTTTAAAGGATATTATAAAACGCAGTAGGAAATATCGTTAACTGAGATAAAAACGATCGTTTAAACAGGTTGAAACTCGATGCTTGAAGTATTTGATCTCGATTAATCGTTTCTTGCAGTCCAACAACCGAACCTGTCGCATCCCTTCCACTTGCACGGATACGCGTTCAACGTGATCGGCATGGGCCGCTCGCCCGACAAGAACGTGAAAAAGATTAATCTGAAGCACGCGTTGGATCTCGACAAGAGGGGTCTCCTCAATCGACAGTTCAATTTACCACCTGCCAAGGACACTATCGCCGTACCAAACAACGGCTACGTCATTTTCCGATTCCGTGCAGATAATCCTGGTAAGCGGAGAAAAGTATCGCGGACATTCTCATTATCCTCTCTAAAAAGTGCCACTCAGATATCGATGGTACCATTTAAATACATTTATTATAACCTTCGCGATTATAATTTAAAAATCCATAAATCCTTGCACCTCTTTTAAATTCAATTCCTTCTTTTCTGTCACTTCTTTATCTTTCTTAAAATTAATTCTATTATTTCATTTTGAATTCAATATTAATTTATTCTATATTAATGTTATTTAACTGTCCTGTCACTAAAAAAAATGTTTCGATAAGCTTTCAAATATGCTCCACACATGCCTCACGAAATGGAAGATAAAAAGCGTCATCCAATTTGTTCTCCGTTACAATATCAAAGTTTCGCATTAATGCTCGCGTCGCGCATAATGCGCAGGATAAACAACTTCCTCTAATTTCAGGTTACTGGCTGTTCCATTGCCACTTCCTGTTCCACATACTCATCGGCATGAACCTGATCCTGCACGTGGGCACGCAGGCGGACCTGCCGCCGATCCCGCCGAACTTCCCGAGATGCGGCGACCATTTACCGCCGATCACACCGCCATCGCTGTTAGACTCGTTTCACTGATCGATCCGGAAGGAGCTCAGAAATTGAGGCGGTCCAAAGCATACACGATATCCATAGCGTATTTCCTGTAAATTAGTCAGTATGCTGTAGCGAATCATTTCCGTGAAGCATCTCGCTCTCGTCGTCGGCTCGCGTTCGTCGTTAGAGTGTTTCGCGCGAAAGATAGAGAGCGAGAAAGTGAGCATGAGCGAGTGCAAGAGAGGGAGTGATAGAGGAAAAAAATAGAGAGCGAAAGAGAAAGAGAGAAAAAGAGAACGAGAGAAACAGAGAGAGAGAGATAGAATTATGGTCCCCAAAAACGAGGAGTACGGAAAACGGATAGAACAGAACGAGTAAGTAAAAAGAGTTCAATCAGACAGCCGATACCGCTTATGGTGCCGCAATGGCGATCGTTCTCGAGACGGTAATGACTCCACGTTGGCAATAGTCGATATTTATTATGTTCCGAATACTTCTCACCCTTCGATCGTGAAACAGCTGACCTCGATCAATCGACGGTTTCGATCTTAACAAAATTCCAACGAAAAGTAAAACACCGGGGAAAGCGACGGATCGAAGGAGCAACACGCGTGGAAACGATCGAAATAGAGGAAGGTGTCAAGAGCATGCGTATGCCACTAACATTTGTAACTCTGTAAATAATGTAGAAATAATCGTTACATTTGATCGATTGTGTAATGCCGGTAGAGACGATGTTTCGGGGGTTGAAGAGAAAGAGAGTGTGACCCGCGAGATCGGCGGGACACAATGCAACAGCGCGCCGTTAAGGAGACCTTTCACCGCAACGAGAGCTGGCGCACGTATCGAGGATCATTAGGGAAACGCTGTTTAAGGAAACCCGATCCGTTCGATCCAGATGATCGCAGGGCTGGCTCCCCGAACGCGGGAGGCCACGCCGCGACCGCTCGAAACGCTTCGGTCGGATCGCATCCAGGTTCCTAAAGTGGCTTTAGTTAGGGAGGAGGTTCGTGCTCGAAACTGGAGCACTTACGCGGCTTTCCGTTCTTGTCTTCGTGGTCGGCCATTTCTTTTCTTCTTTTTCCTTCTCTTTTCTTCTTTTCTTACGAATGTAGATCAATTAAGGGTAAACTTAGCCAGGTTGCCTAACACGTGGAACCTAGGGAGGGAGAATAAACGAGAATAATGCAAAAAATATATACCGTAGACTTTGGTGTCGGGGAGGGGAGTCAAAGAGATTTTCCCGGCGCAACTTTCTTAAGACGAAAACAGAGAATTTGCCAATCATCTCTTGCGAAACATTCGAACACCATATCGATCGAATTTCGTTCAATCGGTTCGCGATCTGTCATTCATTATTTATTTTCCTTCCGCAGACTTTCCAATTCTTTTTTCTCGCCGCAAACAAATGAAACTGACACCGTCGGGATTAATTATCATTTTCTCATCTTCGATCGGTGAGCGTCACGCGGTTGCCCGTGACAATCGCGCGCGACGTGGGCGTCGCATCGTCGCGCACCCGTTGCTCCGCATATTTTTTTTTTACCCATGGTGCCTCCGTTTTCTTTATCGCGAATGGAGAGAACACGGTACGGTTTGCTCGCGACTCACGATTAACGCTTCAGTGGTCGTCCGTGCGGGGCGGTCGTGGCGGTTTTGTGCAGGTGCGACCGGTGGCACCGTTTGCACGTGCGCCTCGTCACGATCCGTGTTTTGTAGATAAACTTCTTCCACGTATGGGGTGACAAGAAGAAAGTATTCATAATTCTCGTGGTGAACGCTACTATGAAAACACTGGAAAGATATTCTAACAAACATAGATTGGAGAATTAATATTTTTAAACTCACGAACAATTCGTTGTTTATTTTGTAATATAAATCACCATAATTACAAAGTCATTAGAACCAGGAATAGAAGAAATGGTACGGTATTCCATTCTTTCTATACAATATAATATCCCCCAAGTGAGAAAATCTTTTCGAACGAAACAAAGAATTATTTTTAATTTTGGAAATATTCCTTTTTCGACTCGTGTTTATTAGAATATTTTTACATTTTACGAGTACTCTTCACCTTAGAAGCTATGAATACTTTCTGCTGATCACCCTCTATACACGTAGACCCTCCGTCACCAGCCCGTTTTGTTGAATGGACACGACACGGGACCGTTAAAACACGAAATACTCAATCGCGACGTTACACCGCAGTCACACTGGGGATCGGGCTAACGAGTCATTGACATTAACAGTGGTCATTGTTCAGCCGTTTCGCGCGCGAACCAAGGCGTGTGTCGGTCTCTTGTCTCGCGGAAGAGCGTGTTCCTGGAGTTGCTCGGATCCGCCTCGTAATTTATTCCTCGCGATCCCCCATTGGCGACCGGGAACATTCTCTTTCGGAATATTTTCGCGACGGACATCTCCATCTTTCATTTCACGGGCGGCCGACGGGTTTTCGCTAGATAAATAGACTGCGGATGTTTGTGTGAATTTTCATGGACCGATTTAATCCTGCCGGATCCAATATCCTGTTGCGTCGAGCCAGACTCGACGAGATGAGATTAATGAGAATACTTTTGGTTTCTTTGAGACCGGAGGAAATTATTATTCTGTTGTTGACAAGAGTTTCATCGTTTAGATAGATGTAACGTTAACGTAAAGTTTCTTTCTTTTTCGTAGAAGTAGACGTTAAACAGATGCTTATTAATTTTTACTGGATTTTGTTTGGCTCGGTATTCTGTAAAAATTGAAAACATAAATTTATGTTCTTGTGCAATGGGTAGATACCAAATGTTTGAAAATATTGGAGAAAAACTAGTGAACTTGTTATCTGGAAATATTTATGGTGATAATTATCGGTATATTCAACAAGATTATGAACGTAATGTTCGTTTTACTTATTCATCGATTTCAAGCTGTAAGTTCATAACATCCGAAGTCTATTATTCGCTGGTAAAATAAAAATTTTTGTACAGAAAGATCAACGCGTGTCTTCAGCGCGAACAGTTATCGAATCGAAGTGGAACGTGACTGTCATTGATCAGACATTCATTGAGACGGTCTCCTATTTACTTGAGAATTCATTCAGCAGAAAGATATTAATATGAATTTATCAGCATTTTTAACTGTATTGTTTAACATTGCCTTCGTCGCGAATAACATTATTGTAAATTTTCTTTTCCCTATTAATTTATTTGCTCATTTTCTAATAACGATGTATAAAGGTTACTTTTTATTGTGCGTAATTGTAAAACGGTTCATTGTAGGGAAGATCCTTTTTATCGAAGATTACCGCGAATTTACTATTGAATCCTGTACCACTGGACTATCATGTGTATCGAAGAAGTTCGTTGCTGGAATTAAATCGTGAGAACTTTTTATATACTTCTTAATTTATGCTACGGGACGCCAATGCGTTTCGCCAGTTATGGTGCACATAGAGATGAGTTTTCGTGTTTTTGTACAGGTAGTATTTAAGCGAGTAATTCGCGTATACTCCGTTATCAGATAAAGATGTACATTAAATAATAAACTTGTTTTTAAAAACCCGACTACCTCTTTATTCAACCGCTGAACCATAAACGAAACTGTAAGAAGAAAAAGGTTCTGCTTGAAAATATTCGAATCAGGCCATCATTCTTGTATGTTAATTTAAAAAAAGAAGAATTTAATTGGTACATTAATTATTGAAGAAAGTATTTAATTATTAGGTGTACCTATTAATTACAGGATTACTTATCCTAATTAGTTTTCATCATTGTACGGTGTAAAGATTCATTGAACCAACTTTCCCCAAATCAGAGAACAACGGCCATGCGAGAAACTAGAATGCTGTCATCATTAATGTTAACGAATCCTCTGTTAAATGAAGTTGCAAAACTAGCGGTGCGCGGATTCACTCAATTAAGCCACAAGAATACGATACAGTTAGACCGGAGATGCAGTTTGTTCCCAGTGATTAACGATAGTAAGAGTGAAAGGATGCGCCAAATTTTTTGCTTGAAATATGCTGTTCAGTCTAGTAAAAATAATTATAAATGTACGTTATTTTAACTCAATTCTCTGCTTCCCTGAGAATATAAGACGACTATTAATGAGAAACACGATACGCAGATTCTTCTGTTTAAATATAAACCTAATATAATAGTATAATAATATGGAAATATGATAAATTCGGAAGCACAATCAACTCATATAAAATTCGATAGTTTTTTATTCATTTCAAATTAATTGATCTCAAATTAAACGAAAGTGAAATAATGTTCGTAAACTGTAAATAGTACCGGCCAAGCAGCACTGTTTGGTTGAAATTTCGCTTTATAATTCGTCCTTGGCAAGGCATTTAGTATGACATGCGTGTTTCCTTACGTGACAAGACATATTCATGAATACTACGTACGGTCAGTGTTGCGTCGCTTTACTCGTAATTTAAATCTATGAATGCGTCGGTACTGAATTGCACAGTAATCATATTTCTAATTATTTCGAAACCGTTTTTTCTTCGTTCTTCGTATCACGTTAAATATTTAATATACTAATCGAAATATCATACATGGGTAACAAGATTTTGTTTTTCATTAAGAATTAGCTCTATCAATATTATCATTTACTCCGATGATAAATTTTGATACATTTTACGTCAAAAATGTAGGAACGTTTAATTTCTATGATTCTATAAATTAATGTACTAAAAATCAGATATTTGGAAAATATTCTAAACGTGTAAGGATCATTGGAAGTTACACGAATTAAAAGATAAATGATTTGGGTGAGGAATAGAATAAAAAATTTCGAAAATTTCCTTAAACTTTTAATGTATTTGTAGCATGTAATAGTGACTCGTTGAACATGGAATGTTTCATTGAGCTATTAGAAAAGTGAAAATATAATATCGTGTCAAGAACGGAACGAAGTCAATTATCTACTTCCCTGTTCCTGTCAATACGCTTCGCAGATTTTATACAAAACATCAATTTTCGATTGTAACAGCAATACAATCTAACTGGACGGTAGACAACTATACTAATTTTGATGATAGAAACGCGACGATAGTCACAAAGGATGAATCCCGATCAATGAATTTATGTACAAAAGCGTTCGTCTAATTCCACTGAATTAAGTACGATATTGCGCAACATTGTAAATGCTAAGTACCTATATTTATGACTATCATATGATACATACACGATCTAGCAGAAAAACCTTCTCCCGAACATAAAATACCAATCACAGAGGAATCATAATATCTCGACAGAAAAAAATACATTCGTAACTAATGAAAAGCATTTTCGAATTTAGCTCTCGACACGTTTAAAATTCGCAGCACTCGTGTCTTCTCTCGTCGGAAGAAGGCGGAGATAACTATAATGACAGTTGAACATTAGTACAAAAATACTCTGTAAGGCAGGAATTGTTTAACCCTTTTGTGTACGTAATATATTATTAGTAACTATTAAGGACACGGAAAGTTACGAGGATCAATCCTTAAGATTTTAATTAACAAATGTTCAAAACGACGTCGTCTCTCGGAGAAACGGTTCATCGGTGTTTCTTCAGACGAGGATCAACAATATCCTTCCGTAGCTCGTTACTGAATGATAGTTTGCGTTTGAATATCACGAGCAACAATTCCGCCGTGTCTGTGTACACCCGCTACAAGCGGTCGCATTGTTAAAACGGAGAATTACTATGTTTTAGATCGTTTAATCGCCATAATTGTTCACTCTAAGTTTTTCGTTAGGCAGCTACTAGAATATTATTTGCCGGAATAATGGGAACCGATGTTCGACGGCGGCCCTCTATGATGATGATGATGCTTCTGACCGGGTCCAGAGTATCTGCTTCCTGGTCGCGAGTGAACTATGGCGTAATGATCGCTGTTCGTCGATATCGACCTCGTAGAATTCATCGTCGATCCTCCGGAAGCGTATCCTTGCTTCCCGTTTAAGGAGTACCTGCAAGTACACAGTCAGTTACACGAATATTCCATTTTTCATTGTACACGGTACCGTTAATTACTTGCTCAGCTAAATCGTATAAATTACAAATAAATAGAAGCAAACTATAACTACAATAAATAACATTTATACTAAATTCTATATTAATTTCCTTCCGAAAGAAGATTATTGAGATTCACAGTCACAGACCGCCAAAAAGACAGATATCCGTATGAGAATAACTCATATGAAATGAAAAATTGATTGGTACTTCTGAAAATTCCAAAATATCCCCGACGACTGTCAACTCGTGAAAAAGGATACAACGGATCTGTCACCTGTTGCAGCCGCATGGATAAATCTCGAAACCGCGGAGGAAAAAAAATGCGAAAAGTGGAATCAAACCTCGAGCCATATTGGGAACCGTGCCAGCTACGATAGGGATCGTAATCTTCGATGATCGATGGTTCTTTCTCGATGATGTCGGTCCTGGTGCAACTGCAGGTCATCGCGGAGCAGAGGAATATGTTGATAATGAGCATGATGAGGAACAGAATGCCAAGAGCTACGGCCAGCCATAGCAGCCATAATGGGTGGACGCTGCCGTCCTCGTACAGAGTTTGTACAGCTATTAAACAAGATATATCGACATTGAAGCCCATTAAGAGGTTTATTTCGAGACAAAGGTTCATCGGGAGCGGGCTAATTAATTAATCGAACGGTGGAAAAGTTCGAGGATAATTTTAGTTACGGTATCAACGGAATATACTAAGTTAGCCTTACGTGTGTACACACATGCACGCGCACGTGCACGTATGCACGGGTGCGTGAGATAGTGTGCGCTATGAAAAGTACTCGTTGGAATATTTACATGGCGTTTGACCAGGGTCAAGAACGAACACGCTCGTGCCGGCAAGAAGCACTCCTTCCTCGCCGCTCACGCTTTGCCCATTAATTAAAGACGCTCCCTTTATTTCTTCCTCGTTATCGCCTTCGCAAATAGGGATACCGCAGCTTCCTGGAGGAAAGAAGATTAACGTTTTACGTTTCACCTGTTATCTGCACGCGGTAATTTACCGTTCGACGCCGGACAGACGGAACGGGACAGGACCAAACGGGGCGGCCGCGGGAAACGTTGAAAGCTTCTCAGATAAGACAAAAGAAAGAGGAAAAACAAGATAAGGGGAGAAAAGAAAGCCGCGGTTCGCGTAATGGCGGGACGCGTTTACTGTCCTGGGTCGCGTATCTAATATCGTAGGATACTTCCGAGGGAATATGTTAATCCCGCGGGGTCTAGAGTTGAACGGCACGTTGTAACCCAGATTCGGCACGCAGACCGTAATCGGGGGAAATCAGTCAACGGATCGGTTTACCTCTGCACACAGCGATGTCGCATTGAAAATGCACTTGCGGGCTGTCAGGAAACCGGAACATCGAGAACAATGTCGCATCCGCCAGGCCGGTGTTCCGATCGTATATGAATTTCGTCATGACGCGGGCCTTCACGGGACACCTTTGTCCGATGGAACAGAAACGTTACGTAACTGGGCCGTGATTGCGATCGATCCTTCGCGGCTCGATTTGCGTTGGATCGGGGTCGTTAGAATCGTGCAGGGTGACGCTCGTCGCGCAGAAATAGATGTGACGCTGTCTCTGGATGTTCGACTGCGTTTAGATTCGCAGATTCTTTTAATTCATGTGATCTGTGGGTTTGATGCATTCGCAAATAGCGGTACTTTAATTAGTCCTCGGTGGAAATGGCAGACAAACATTTCCAACGTCACATATTTCTGACGACTAGAAATCAAATTGATCTTTCGAGAATAACACAGGAAGTTATTCGAATGTTTCTACTTCATTCGTTCAAATATTTCATTAGTATGTAGGTACTAGTATCAAGAAATTTGCCAAACGCATTGCAACACGATATCATGGAGCTCCCTGTATATTCGATAGTAACATTCTGTTGTTGTATTAGAAAGGAAATATTTTAAGGCTTAAATAAAGGAACTGAGGAACGAAAATGAAACTTACCCTTTGTCGTCGATCAGCTGCACGCTGTTGTTTCGCTTATTGAACGCAAAGCACGATTTCACCTTAATTCCGTACATTCCTGCAAAGAGAAGGGTTGATGAAAATGCGTCACCGGCATGCGTACCAACACGGCCGCGAGCGTCGAGCGCGTATCGCACGGGCTCGTTAATTCCAATTAAATGTACAGGGTGAAAATGGAAGTGAGAGATGCTGTACGAACCATCTGGCCGCGAGATCTCCGCACGCAAAGTATAGTTGTGACCATAAATAGCCTCCTGCACTTTGTGACCGGCGTCCAAAAGGCGCAACGATACTAACGAGGTCTCGTTCCTGCAAACGGTGAAAACGATCGTACCGTGCGAAAATTATGTAGAGGCCGGTAGTCACGGCGACGTGATTTTAAGAGATACGAGCTAATATTAATAAAGGTTATGCGTACTTCGCGTTTTTGAATCCTGCCTTTCCGCACGTAATAACATAAAATTTATCGTCCGCCAGCTCCAGGGTCTTATGTATCCGCACCGCGATGGGGATGGAACGCTCCTCGTTGTCCTGCAAGAATTACACCGAGATTAAGGGGAATCTGTACCCGATGCGTTTGTAATGAAGCCCGCGCGGCCACGGGTGGGAATAAACTTTTATGACGTTTTAATGCCGATATAAGTAAACGATATCTGGGACAAATATGAGAGATTACGGTCCACTTAAAATCACCCACTGAATTATATTCTTTCATCACCGCAGATTCGAAAGGACATTAATATCTTGACAACTGATTCTAGCATTTTCCACGCGAAACACCGATCGATCGCTTCTCGCTTGAGTTTGAATTAAATTTCAATTAAAATGGAATTTCTATGGATTAGACTGAAAATACACGCAAGGTATTCAAATTAATTGATTTTAAATAGCACGTAACTGTTTGAATATTATCCAGTAATAGAGAATCTTTGTTTACGCAGTATAGAATTTTATCAGTGATCGCCAATTATTTTGAAATGAGAATCGGTGCTTTGTAGAAACTTTATAATTGGATTGAAAACAGGAGAATAAATTTTCATAGTTTTTGATTGAAATTAAATTTTAATTGCTGTTTCACTGGAATCGCGCATACATTTTAATCAGCAGTATAGATCGTGTACTTACATTATTTACCAAGACACCGCAGTAATCTGGGGATCCTTTGGGAGCTAGAAGATTAATAGCGAGGGTCGCGTGGTTCGAACCATTTCCGGGCGCCATACACTGCGGCGTCCGAAAATCTCTCGCGTGAACAGCACCGACGAAACTCTGATTCAGATTCACTCGTATCGTCATGTGGCCTGCCTTGCATGTTGCCGTGACCGTTGGTTGGAACTCGGTGTCCAATAATTGGCCGGTGACCTGTGGCAGAATCAAAATACGATTGAATCCTTTGAATCCCTCCGGAAACACGATTATTACGCAACCATAAAAATAATTATTCATCTACGGAATATAAATGCTCGATGGAAATCTATAATTATAATTATCGCAATGAATATTATACTTCGCGTACACGATGGGTGGAATTAAGAATAATAATATTCCAGAGATTTATGCAAGGTTATTAAAACTACAAACAAGAAGTAAGCAAGCGTCGAAGACTACGTTTTAACTACTACTCTTTCGAAAGTTCCGCTTCAGTTTTGCATACCTCTCCGATGACGATTTTATTACGCAACGAGACAAATTTCAACCGCAAGTTCGAAATCGCGTTAACACTCCCCCGAAAATTCCCTTCAATTTAGACCGTCAAAACCAGATGGCCCGAACTGTTCGGCGAATGCAATTTCCACTGAGACCAATATTTGCCGTGTTAACGAAGTGGCCCGGTGTCGCGCGACTCACTCTCCACATTCCGATTCATAGGCGGTGCGCGTGACCGCGCGTCACAGCCGTGCCAACACGACCGGCGAAATCCTATCCAAAACAGCGCGCACGGGATCAATCACGTGTATCCGGAGAGTTTAATATTCGATTTCAGTGTCAGACGGATATACATATATATATATCCTTTACACGAAAATCCGGTATACAGTGCGCGATTTCACCTCGACACGCCGTTCGAAACAATGCGCGTTTTACGACGTATCGGCGTGTCCGGATCCATGGGAACGAGACAAGAAAAATAGATCACTCGGTAATTAATATTAACGTGCCCCGGCTAATTAGTCCGTCGGCTTTAATTGTACCCGGATAATTGCCGCTCCCACCGTCCCGGCCTCTGTCCACCATCCGTCGCCCCGCGGACCGGCGAGCGCACCCTTAAAAGCCGCGCATTCCGCGCTGCACGTTCGTCCTTCGCTACCACCGGCAGCTTACAAATTATTCAATTAATTACAAGGGACGGGTTAAGAGTCGGCCGGAGGAATGATTTTCAGCTCTCGAACCGGGCTGCGCGAATTCCGCGTTTCAGCGCGCGGCCAGGCCCCCGTAACGCGAGCCGGCGATATTTTCCCGGTCCGATCGGTAAGTTAATGCCCAAGTAAACTTGGGACCGGTCTGGGCGGTAGCTATCGGCCCACGCTAACTTTCAATTTCATGCGGCCGGACCACTTCGCGGCCGACGGATAACGTATACGCGCGCGTATACACGAGGAATGTCCGGCGGTGCCCGCGGACGGATACGCCAACAATAAAATCGGTCTCGGGCTAGGTGGAGATGCCGCGACCGGCGGATAGGGCGCTCACCATGCGCCGAGACAAAGGTCTGGACGTAGGCGTGCGCAAGGCCACCAGTCCTAAATGCTTCAACGGCCTCCTCCTCCACCTCCTCCTCTTCCTCCTGCTCGCAGTTGGGAGAGAAGAATCGGAGGACGCGTTGGGTTACTGAAAAGGATTCTCTCCTTCCAACCGTGGACGGCTAATCGATTATGAGAACGCGACGCGGTAACTTATACCGGTGTCCTTGCGTTTTGGCGGCTGACCCTTTTTTCATACAACGGCTCTTCTGTCTTTCTCCCTCTTCCGCTCCCTTGCTTCCAGTCTCCTCCCGCTGCGTGCCGATCCCTATCCCGTTTTGCCATCTATCCTATTATCCGTAGGACACCGTGGACTGACTCCTTTTGTACCCACGGCGATGAATGCCGTTTATAATGGTTCCTTATTTTCGGTGGGGTCCAGCGTCGCTGAGCATGACGGACATGGACCTGCTAATGGATTTGTCGCGTGTAACCGTATTTTGTGTAGGAGAGGAATTTTTTAGCGTTGAAAGAGCTGTGTTTAAGGTGTATTTTAATGCTTCTATCGAGGAGGTATTTAGTATTTTGAATTGTGAAACGTTAATATTGTAGAAAGGAACTGAAATTCTAATTTCGATCAAGATGATAGCTACAGCGAATTAGCTACTATTTTTCGATGGTGGTGCAAACCGAAGTCGGATCTCTGTTGGGAGACTCGATCGCTGGTTTGCGAAAGGCCCTACTAATCGACACTAGAAATACTACCGCAGAAGCGTGCCATTATGCAGCGCGAATCCTTACGATCCATTGAAACGCGTGTTCTCTTTTCCGTTGATGGTCGTAAAGCAACCCCAATCCATTTCTTTGCGATCCGTGACTACTCCGTAAGGAATTCGTTAATTGTAGCTTTGTTACAGGCACACTTAGGACTGAAGGCTTTACGTAATCGATACGCCGTCGGTTCCAATTAACGGATAGTTCAATGAAACCGCGATGCAAGTTGGAGACATCCGGTCCGCGTAACGTGCCGGGATTCGGTGGAATCGCAAGAAGACGCAACAGTCGCATCAATTCCTGGCATTCTCTAATTTCCGACTAGAACCGGAGCCACGGCGAGCGGTTGTAATTACTATGATTCACTACCGGCGCGCCGGCACGCAACATTTGATACCTCACGAAATCTGTTATTTCTCTCCATTGACGTGCGACCACTCGCGTGCTCGACCCCACGGATGAGCGGAATTCCAGCCGGATAATGTACGGCGTTTGGACGGAATTTATGAAGAACCGCGCGGATAATTCTTTAGCTGCACCGGGGGCATTCAAAACGGAAGGAAGGTAATCGAGAGATAATGCAGCTTGGAACAAAAGACGACTGGACAACGTACATCGACCGACCGTCAACTGACCGATCACGTGAAGGGAAATCGTTTTGTTTTATGTATCGCATTCGTATAGTAAGTATTTTGATGTAAACAATTTCATAAATGAGATATATTTATATATATATAATAATAATTATTATTAAAAGGTATTATTATGGATTAGTCGGTGATTCGTTATGTTTTATATTTAACTAGGCGAATGATTGAGGTTCATATAAAACGGTTTCCATATGAGACATCTTTTATTAGTCCCACGAGATGAAGAAAAATGCTATTTCTCTATCAATTTCTAAATTATGTTCTCTGTAATTAAAGAATAGTAATCACATTATATCCAGGAGCGCTCATTAATTTGTTAACGAGAAGAAAATTGCAATTCGTGATTCAGGAAACCTGATTCTACGAAAAACAAGGAATCCTGGAGACGTAAGATAACAACATAACGTGACACGAGATGGAGAAAAATGCTATTTCTCTATCAATTTCTAAATTATGATCTCTGTAATTAAAGAATAGTAATCAGATTATATCCAGGAATGCTCATTCATTTGTTAACCAGAAGAAAATCGCAATTCGTGATTCAGGAAACCTGATTACACGGAAAACAAGGAATCTTGGAGGCGTAAGATAACACGATAACGTGACAGTATACACGGCGTCGTAACTAGTAACTAAACGATTGACGCCTATGCAAATTTAGATTCTTCTATATTATTTTCAAAATAAAAAAGATCGTAATCTCTATCAGGGAGGAACATTGGTTAAAAGAAACATAAAAGTGTACCTTGTTATGTCTTCATTAAAGATTACGGTTCCATGCGGTAAATATCGGAAAACGCATGTCATACATGAATATAATTCATTATCTTTTTCTTTTCCATCCAATTTTCGTAAATGAGCCTAGAAAGACATCAATTTGCATAATCATCCTCAATCTAGTTGATGGACTTTTTTTTATACATCTCCATTACTGATAAGATTATAAGAGAGTCATTTAATATGTAAAGAGGCAGACAACCATTACTTTTATGTTCCCTTATAGTAGTTTTTAGAGTTTTCAACGTAAATACATCGCTACTGCTAATGTCGTAACTTTCCGTACCAACTACAAAATTTCCACCAGTTTCAAAGCCTATTTTTGCCATTTTGTTTCGTGTGTTGTAGATCAATGCGTAGCAACATGTTCGACAACTTTTGAACTGATCAACTCGCTAGTAAAAATTAGTATAATCATAGAACTTAGTTCCGTTGAAGCATCCGAGTGTAAAATCCAAATGGCTTTACATAAACCGGAAACCGGAAATCATATAACTAAATGTTATTCATCAGAGGTGCACATCTCAAAGGAAAATATCATTACCGAACAAACTATAGGAACTGTACTTAGATACACGCTGAACTAATTACGAATTGTAGCAATGTCGCCTTTGAGACTTCGTAACTGTAGTACCTCCTATTTACATATTCCTTAACCAGTGCTCTCTTTGAATATTCAACGATCCACATCCTATAACAATGACCAACCAAAAACAATTCAGATGCAAAGAAGAACACCCACATTTCCTCATTAAGTCGGAACTGAAGTAACAACAACGCCTAAAAAGAACTGGAGAGAAAGAAGTTATTTACAGAAATATCACGAATTTTCCTTGACTATAAAAAGAGGTCTGGTAGCACACACGTCCGACGCTAACGGTGTGACGCAATCATCGTTCTGGTCTCCAGGTATGCAGAGGTATAGACGACGGAATGGAAATATGACGGGCGGCGGTGACATCACGTAAAACCTGTGCTTATATAAACGAAAGTCCCGTCGTTGGTCCACCAACGATTGAATAACAGAGTAGAGGCCGTTATTCGCCAGCGAAATTCGCGCGGAGTACACACGTGACCGCACTGTTGGATGACGCACAGCGCTCCGGCAGGATATGAACCGTTCATTTGCCAAACTGATTAAGTTCACAAAAGGGAAAGCAACAAAATTCGAAGAAAATACGTACAACAAACAAAATATAAATCACTCAAGCACGCTGCCCAAATATCCTTCTTCCAATTCTCCAAAATTCTTCCTTCCCCATCACGGATGTTACCAGAATTGTATAATCATTCCGGTTTTTACTGACATCGAGAAGATCATCAAATCCTAATAAAACGAATACAGACGCTGGGAACAGAATCAGAGACAAATCTACACCGTCTTCTGTGAAAGTTAACCTTTTACATTTGACAGTTATGAGACATAGACTACATTTTAAAACTAACTTGAAATGTCACATAAATGAAAGGACAAAGCTAT